CATGCACCTCATAACAGACCTTCAAAATGTAGGAAGTAAAACTGGTAACAATTGAAAAAAGTAGATACATTCATGATTATAACTAGACATAAACATTAAACATTCCTTTTTCAGTAATTGATAGAACCAGAAGGTAGAAAATATGTAAGGATATAGAAGCTTCAAAGAGCACGAAGGACCCACCTGGCCTAACATTTGTGGAGTAATACACACACAACAATAGAATAATTTTTTTTTTCAAATGCACATGAAACATTTATGAAGGGCAACTATACACTGGGTTATCAAACAAACCACAATATATTTAAATATTGAAGTCATGCAGAATTATATTGTGTGATCATTACAGAATTAAAAATAGAATCAATCCAGAAATATGCCTAAATTTTTTCCAAATATTTGGACATTAAATAGCACAGTTCTAAATAACTTGGGGTCAAAGAAAAAAATTGAAAGGAAAATTGGATTTTTTTTTAAATTTCAATAAAGTGAAAATAAACCATATCAAAAATTTGTCAGATAGACCTAAAGGAATATATTGAGGGAAACTTACGGATTCAAAAGCTTATTTTGGAAAAGAGGAGATCTAAAAATTAATGCCCTTGATTCTACCTTGAGAAACTAGAAAACAAGGGCAAATTAAGTCTACATAAACAGATGAAATGAAATAACAAAGATAAGAGGAGAAATCAATTAAATAAACAATTGAAAAATAAAAATAATAGAGAAAACCAACTCCATGAAAAGCTCTCTTACTAAATATCAATAAAATCAACAAACCTCTAACAAGGCTCATTGCAATCATCTCAAACACTCACTTCTTTAAAACTCATCTTGCTGAGGGCAGTTCTCACCCAATTACTGCTCATGATTGGTGCTACAGAGATCTGGCCACCTCCTATCAGTTTGGGACAACTCTAAAAGGCCGTTCCTACTCCAGGACAGCTGAGGCTCTTTGCTGTGAATTATCCCACTGCCCAACCCCGCTTCCTCCCCCACCTCGAGGTGACAATCCCGATGGTGCTTTCCAGTAAATTTGCTGCATTTAAACCTAAACCCAAAGTCTGTTTTGGGGAGATGCCCACCACAATAGGCTTATTTTTAAAATGCCATATCATTTTAATATTAGGGAATGTGGTATTTTACACTGTGTAGATTAGTAAAGTCAGCAGAAGACGGTATTTGAATATACCGTGTTTCTCAACAATCTTGACTCTGATCCTCCTAGCTTGAATCAAGTGGCTGCTTCTGGAAGTGAGGCTTGAAATCTGGGGGGACCAGTGCCTTGTGGGGCTCCCTCCCTGTCTGTGTAGGTTGAGAGTGCAGCAGCTGCATTATCTGTGGCACGGTTGAGAGAGCAGAGACCAATCCATAGTCAAAATAGAAATTTAGAAATCGATTCTATATTTAAGAATCAGATGTACAAAAGTGTGGAATTATAAGTAGGCAGGAAAAAGAAGCAGTTTCAACAATGGTTATAGCCGTCTCTTTCAGAATAGAAAAAAAAAATCTTGAAAAAGTAAAGGCATTTCCAGTGGCACCTGTGGCTCAGTGGGTACGCTGCCAGCCCCAGATACCGAGGGTGGTGGGTTCAAACCCGGCCCCAGCCAAACTGCAACAACAACAACAACAAAATAGCTGGGCATTGTGGCAAGTGCCTGTAGTCCCAGCTATTCAGGTGGCTAAGGCAAGAGAATCTCTTAAACCCAGGAGCTGGAAGTTGCTGTGAACTGTGACATTATGACACTCTACTGAGGGTGACAAAGTGAGACTCTGTCTCTAAAAATAAAAAAGTAAAAGCATTTCTTTTTACAATACTAGACACTGAAATATATTTCAAGTGCTCTGAAAACTTAGGTGTAAAATCTACAAAGAGTTACAGGAAAACATGACCTAGGAAAAATAGTCATAGATATTTTAGAGGTAATTTAGTTAATATACTTAATAAACATATAAAGTTGTTACAAATTAGTAATAAATGAGCAAAGTGTTTATTTAACAATTCAAAACAATTTAAAAAAGAAATGCACATGACTGATCAAAGCGTGAACAGATGGTGAACCTTACTAGTAATCAAATCAATGTAAATCAAAGGAAAGTTTTTTATATTTTTATTGCCTGAGACAGACAGTGAAATCAAAGCACAAGAGTGAGTTATGTACACTACCTCTCCTCACATGTCTATTTAATGGAAAGGTGTTCAAGGTATGTTGTTAAATGTCAGGGAAGTAAGCCCTGAGAGATTTTGTACAGCGTGATTCTACTGTTGTTCACAGAAACCCAGCACACGGGAACACATGTCAGTAGCAAGGCTTTCAGTGAGATCTGAGTGGTAAGATCATAGGCGATATCTGATAGGGCTTATATGTTTGCCCTATTTAATTTTTTCACAATAATAATGCATTGGTTTTCTACGTAAGAAAAGATAGAATGAGATTCATGGTACCCATTTAGTTGATTTTTGAATCCTAGGGCAGAAAATGGAGAAAGGATGTACTTTAAAAATTCTTTAAAAAAAAAGAATTTTTTTTAAAACTAGCTTTTGAGTGGGCCTACAGATTTTGTTTTCCAATTCAATTCTATCTACCTGACATTTTGCAAAAAATACTTCAGGATTCTAGCAACAGGGGAGCTGCCAAGTCTTAGTGTTTGACATTATGTGATACTTTTTCTTTGTGACCCTTAAAGATGTTATTTTGGAGGTTGAGAAAAGATTTGTGTTGGAATTTGCGAGTCAAGATTCTCTGTTAAACCAAACACCCAAGAAAGCCTCAGATTACTGGGATAATCTTGGGCATTGTACTTCCTTTGGGCTGGTAACTTTACTCTTAACTAAAATGTTTCCATGCCAGAAATATGTTACCACACACACACACACACACACACACAAAGAAAGAAGTATGTTACCATAGAGGGGAGAGGACGTGTGGGTAGTCAGGGCCTGATAATGACAGGTGGAGCCACCAACAGCTCCTTTCTGCTTGCTTTGTGAATAGCCCATGCCATCTACTGAACACGTGAGCGCAAATGATCCAAATGATTTTGTGTAATCCGGGTCAGGTACACAGGAATACAAAATTCATTCAGTATGTAAAATAAATACAGTGACTTTTCAATTGTCTTCATTATATAAAATTTTGTGTTGACCACAAGGACTTTATATTTTTAAGAAGAGTCTCACGGTATCACTGAGCTAAGGGTCCTTTCTTTACACTCACTTTGAGTCATATATTTAATAAAATTAATGTTTGAACGATCTCACTTTTATAAAATCCAGTCTCAAATCTGCCCTGCTTTTTCTATTAAACTTCCACTAGGGGGAGGCATTTGCTCAGTTTTGTGTTTAGGCTGCCTGGTAAAAACAGGGAAGTCTATTAAGCAGGGGAACGTCTCAGAAACAAGGTCAACAGCTTTGGGTTTTCCAATGCCTAGTGCTCTGCATTGTAATAATTCAGCAAATATATACACAAATATATACATGACACTCAGTAGCAATGTTTTTTTATTTGTTTGTTCATTGTGACAGAGTCTTACTCTGTTGCCCAGGCTAAGTAGAGTGCTGTGGCATCAGCCTAGTTCATAGCAACCTCAAACTCCTGGGTTCAAGTGATCTCCTGCCTTAGCCTCTCAAGTAACTACAGGCATCTGCCACAATACCCAACTAATTCTCTATTCTTCAGTAAAGATAAGTCTTACTTACTCTTGCTGGTCTTGAACTTGAACTCCTGAGTTCAAAGATCCTCCTGTCTGGGCCTCTGAGGGTGCCAGGATTACAGGCATGAGACACCATGCCTGGCCTTATATTATCTATTTTTTTTGAGTTTGTTTGAATATTTGTAACTTTAAAATAGCCACGTGGGTCGAATAGTTTATTACACGTGCATCTTACGTTTTCTCATTTAATTGTTAGACAATTCTTGCGTTAAATAGTGATGTACTAGTTAAGTGATGTACTAGTGATGTACTAGTTAAGTGATGACTATGTTAACATATATGATGTTCTCATTATATTTCAGGTATTTTATAATTCATTAAGATGATAATGCCTTTATTAATATATAAATACATTTATGCAATGCTTTAATCTTTCTACCATAACTTCATGCAAAATGATAACTCTTCAGATCATAGAGAAACTTTTGATTATCTTTTTTGATTATCATGTAAGTGACAAAAACGTGTGAAACATTTCTTAAAGTAACTGAAATATACAAGGCCTAAAATACTGTGGAGTAAGTTTTTCCCCATTTGAAGTTGTTTGTGGTTACTGTCTTGGGCTCCTACTTTACTGTTTTTATTAGTACCAAAATTGTATGGAAAGAATATCCTTGTAGTTAAGTAGGAAACATCTGCTCCTCTTCACATTGTCTTTGAAATTACAGTATTCTGTGTCATCAGTTAATTGACTTCGAGGAATTAAGTCTCTGAAACTTTGAACTTTCTGACAGCCGCCTGTTTCTCCCTTTGTTTTAAATTTTTAAGAAGTCTTTCTTGTATGAGCACTATTATGCTAATTTTATTGTTTTAAAGATACACTATTAATTAGCCATAGCTGTTTTCTTAAGTAAAACACAACAGACTTTTGTCCTCCAGCCCCTTTAAGAAAATTTAGTGGTTGATATTTCCTTTTCTTCTCTTGTGAGAATGGGAAGACCAAATCTGGTGTGTATAAACGTATTGTTAGGAAGACTTCTGGATTTTCATATCTAACAGATCATGTCTCATTTTTAAATAATAAGCTTCATTTGTCATTTTAAACAATTGCTTGGTCTGTATGGGAGAAAGTAAGACATTCTCCCATACATCTACCAATTGATTCTTTCTTTCTTTTTTCTTTTTTTAATTTCAAGTTGCTATGAGGGTACAAATGACCTACTGGGCCCAGTATAAGGGAATTCAGCACACCGGCTGGGTGAAGTGGTCAGTTCCAACTGGACTTTACCTGACAAACACAGACAATGTACCCTAATCCTTTACTCTCCATTGATTTTTCTCTTTAGGATGAAAGCTTGGCCCGCCAGCTGGTGGAGCTGGGGTATCGAGGGACTGGAGAGATAATAAAAAGAGAGGATTTTGAAGCGAGGAAGGCAGCTATAGAGATTGCAAGGCTGGCTGAAAGGACTCAGAAAAAGTAAGTGTCCAAGCTCTCAATCAAGAGTTTGTGTTATATCCTGGAGTCTCTAAAACAAAACAAAACAAAACAAAAAACTTAATGTTGTTGGCATTGTTGTAACTTGGAAACCGTGGCTTGAGCAGGTAACGCCTGAGTAGTCCTACACTTGTGAACTGCACACGAGGAACTGGGGCAACTGTAATGTGCTCACAGCAAAGGCACACGTGACTCTGAGCTACTAACTCGAGAACTATAAATACCAAAATAGAGTCATCATACCAATAAAACCCTGTAAGAAAGGAACTCTATTACTTTATGCATGCATGAGCTAAAAATATAAGTGACTTTTGCTGTTGAGTTCTTTGTACTTTTGAGGCCTGTAAGTCTTTGGCATCTAACTATATTCTCACATTATTCCTAAGCATTGATTGACTCAACTTTATGAATAATCACTGACTTCTGTTAATGTGACTGATATGTGTACAGTACATGACTAATGTTATATATTATTATGTAATAATAGTCATGTTAAACATAAACCTAATAAAATATATTAGAACATGTGAGGAAAGACAAACATTCTTAAAATGAACTGAATCAAACCGATGAGGCAATTTTATAAAAACGTGACAAAGTCATCATCTATTTAATTCTTTAAAATGAATGAGTGCTCAATATTGGAGTGGAAATTAGTAAACAGTGTATTATTATTAGATAACATCTTTAAAAATACCCAGTAATTATGAGTGTAATGACCCATATATTCATTATAAAAAATAACATTTGGTAGTAGAATGTGCCCTTGCTTCTGGGAAGGTGTGATTTTCAGTGCTGTTCTAGTGGTTTTGTGTATTCAGGATCATAGAATATTGGAATTTAACACACTGATATTTGGGGATGCATTAGTTTTTATCACTGCCACACACGTTACCACAAAGTTAGTGGCGCTAGAGAAACACAAATTTCTTTGCTCCTAGTTTCGTACATCACAGTGTAGCTCGGCTGGGCCCTCTGCTCAGCGTGTTATGAGGTTGAAATTGCGGTGCTGGCTGGACGTGGCTCTTGTCCGTAGCCTAGCCTGGAGACTCTCACTTCCACACTCATTCACGTTGTTGTCTAAATTCAGTTCCTTGTGATTGTCGGGCTGAGCTCCTCATCTCCTTATCGTCTGTGACTGGGGACTGCTCTGTGCTTCCAGAGGCCCCTCGTGTTTCTTCCCAGGCTTCTTCCCCTCCCTCTTCCAATCGTGAGTCAAGACCCCCCACCGCCCAGATCTCTCCATCTTCCCCTTCTGCTGTATCTTTCTTGAGTTCAGTTAAAGAAGAAAAATCTCTCCTCCTGAGGGCTCATGTGCTTACACTGGGCTCATCTAATCACCCAGGATTATCGCCCTGTTTGTAAGCGTATAGTCTTAAAATCTGCAAAATTCCCTTTGGCACATGGTATAATACATTGACAAGTTCTTGGGATTAGAAAATGGACATTCTTAATCCCATTATTGTGTGAGAGTGTGCATTCCTTACTGCAGGTAATTTATATAGAATTTCAATAAGTTAGGCAATTTAGTATAGTTACCCACGCTAAACTTCTATTTCTAAAGAGTTGGAATGATGCGTATTTTAGGTATACAATGTGGTGTGTCCTCTGTAACACGTCAGGAAGTGTCTTTTCTTTTCGGGAGTCAGTGAATGTCTATCAGGAGCGTAAGTGAGAGGATTTTTGTGAGACTTTGCAAGGAATTCATGCATATTCATATGTGATTTCCTAAGAGACAGAGCTTATTTCAGATCCAGAGGAGTGGACGTATGTACAGTGTCAGTTCTCCCAGTGTTCATGTCCACGTTGTATCTGAGGATCAAAGTTGTATTTCCGACATGCAATGATAGTCTCTTTAACTGGCCAGAGCTAGAATTCATCAGGCTACTGAAGTGCCACTTTGGGGAGGCTAATGTGTACTCAGAGCTGCTGGGATTGGAAGGCTCTTTCATCTTCAGGTCTTCTCTGCTTGCTTTTGTAATGGGAGGGGTCCCCTATGCCGTCCCATATAGGGGCCACTTTACTCCCTTCCCTGCCAGGTCATTTAGTGCTGTTGACAGCAGGGCCAGAAGAGGGCGTCTGAGAGTCAAATATTAATATGTCCTGTGCCATATTTGCTAGAAGATCACTTTGAAAATATGTATGAGCACCTGCCTGCCTGCCCACTGGTATTAACTCAGAAATACTTTACCATCAGTTTATCTTACATTAATCTCTTTTATGTGCAGATGGGCAACACCAAGTAGATCAGGATCCTTTGATCCAGTCATTTTACAGCACTCACTTCAAGGACTCGCTGGTATTTAGAAGCTACTTACAATAGCTTCATAGGGGAAAGTCTGAAGAAATGAAAGTTAAAGATATTGGGAAGGAATATTCTGATGAGGGGAGGTTCCAGAAGAAGGCAAGAAGCTAAAAAACATTTGAGTTTTTTTTCAATTATTTACAAATATTTATAGACAACAATAGTGTATTAGCCACTGTGCTATAGGCTTTGGGGATATGATAGAATACAAGGTACAGTTAGCATCCTCAAGAAATTTGAGGGCCAGATAAATGAAAGTACAGTAGAGCCTCTGTAAGTTCACCACCCAAGGGACTGTACCAAATTCGTCAACATGTGGAGGTGGTCAACGTAGAGAACTAGGCCTACTGAGCTGATAGGTATGCATGGTGCATGTCATGTTTATATGGATGGAATTGGAAAATGTTCTTCTTAGCAAAGTATCTCAAGAATGGAAGAAAAAGTGTCCAATGTACACAGCCCTACTTTGAAACTAATTCATAGCTTTTATAGGAATGTCATAACCTAATTATAGCCTTAGAATATGGGAAGGGGGTGGGAGGGGGAGGTGAGGGGGGTGGATGGGGAGAAGGAAGGTAGGGAGATTGGTGGGGTCACCTCTATGGTTTACCTTACAAGGGTACAAGTGAATCTTTCTAAAAGCAGAGTATGAATGTTTTAACTCAATAACGAAGAAAATGACATGAAGGTTATGTTAACTAGTTTGATGAGAGTATTTCAAAATGTGTATGAAAACAGCACACTGTACCCCATGATTGCATTAATGTACACAGTTATGCTATAAGAAATTTAAAAAAAATAGAGGAAAAAAAAGAAAATTAAGTCAACTTAAGAAAGTGGTCAATGTGGGGAGGTGGCCAACTGTGAAAGCTCTACTATAATTAATTACACTGTTGGTGTGAAAGGACAGTGGAAACTGGAAAGCGTTTGTGGCAGTCCTTCAAAGAGTGAAGCGTAGAGTTACCAACTACCCAGCAATTCTGTCCTGCATATCCCACAGGTCCACTTAGAAACGCAGACACAGAAATAGACAGCAGCATTATATTAACTTCATTATAATTAAAAACTGGAAACAATTCAAATGCCCATCCACTGATGAACGGATAAAAAATGTGTTATACTACCAGAATATTAATCAGTCATACGAGGGTGTGACGTGCTGTCACATCCTACAGCATGGACAAACCTTGAAAATATTAGATTGAGTGAAAGAAGCCAGAGGCAAAGGACCACAGGTAGTATGAAACCATTTATATGAAATGTTTAGGACAGGTACATCCCAGAGGCAAGTAGACTCACGGTCCCCATGACTGGAGGAAGGGGATGCGGGAGAATGGTTGCTAACGGAGATGAGGTTTCTCTGGCTGTGATAACGTGTACAATTAGATTTGGTGGTGCTCGCATCGCTGTGTAAAGATATTAAATCTATTGCTGTGTATACCTTAAACGGGTGGATTTTATAGTGTGTGAGTTATGTAGAGGATGACAATGCAGTTGCTGATGCTGTGGTGACACCCTGAGGTGACACAGCAGGAGGACAGTGAAGAAAGGGAAAGAGCCCTTCTTAAGGCGGGACTGTTAAGTTGACTCCAGAACGCCAAGTAGCTTTAGAAGGCGGACACCAGGGTGGGAGGATTGCTCGAGCGTTTGAGACTGGCACGGGTATTGAAGCAAGACCCTGCCTCTACAAAGGAAACTTTTAAAGTTAGCTAGGTGTGGTCGGGTGCGCCCATAGTCCCAACTACTCCAGGGGTGACGTAGGGGATTGCTTGAGGCCAGGAGTTCAAGGATACAGTTGAGGTGTGATCATGCCATTGCACTCTGATGACAAAGGGAGACCTTGTCTCTCAAAGAAAAAAAAGCCAAGGAAGTGTAATTAGGCAAAGACAGGTGTGTTTGGGCACACCCCCACGGTGGCCTCAATTCCCCTTCTTCATAAATCACTTTCTCTATCTCTTTGTCTTAATTCGTAGCTTAATTTCCTTCCCCAAAGCTGTGCCAGCTAGAGGCCACTCACGGAGTTGCCGGGGGTGTGGGGCAGGCTGGTGGGGAGGGAGCAGGTTCTCTACTCCTCTGGCTCCCTCAGCCTTCGCTCCACTTACCACGGGAACCTCTCCATTTCTTCTCCACTGAGCTTCATGCAAGTTGGTTGGAATCGCTGCGTGACAGAAGCTGTGAAGTGCGAAAAGCAGGGCTGGAGGAGGGCAGCTGATGTCCCTCTGTCTCTACACAGTGTTCTCTCCCCCTGGGGTTGGCTGTGGTTTCCACTGAGGTGGCCATTGGTATAAGATCTACAGAATTTCCATTCACAATGAGAATTTCAACTGATTCCCACTGGTGGAGAGATGGAACTGTTTGAGGCACTGTGTTCCTGGAGGAGCCAGTTAATAGTTAGAACTCAATCAGCCCTCAGGCTGGACACTGTCCTGGATGGGCTTTTAAGATCTGATCAATTTGTGAACTGTTCATTTCCACTTTCTTGTATGATTTATTGTTATCTCCTTCAATTTTTTGACAATAGGAGATGGAAATATCTCTTAATGAAATACTAATACTAAATATCTTTAGTTTTATGGAGATGAAGATGGATAAAAGGCCAAGATCTGCTCCACGTAACACGGCTTGATCCCATCTGCTCGTTTCGTCTTTGGGTAACATTTTATGATCACAGGTGAAC